CCGGCCGCGGCCATCCCGGCTGGGCGGCGGGCCGGGTTAAGAGCCGAGCGGCGAGCACGTGAGCCCAGGGCCCGCCCCCGCCCCCCGGGCTCCCCCGCCCCCGCCTCACCCCAGCCGGCCAGGGCCGGGGCCGCCGCGACGGGAGGACAAAAGAGGCGCCGCCCGGAGACCGGCCCTCCCGCGGCTCCTCGGGGCCCTCGGCAGGTGCACGGCGGGGCGCGCCCGTCCCGGTCTCGCGGCCCCTGCCTTGGCCATCCCTCGCTCCGAGGACCTCTGGGTTTGTAGGGGGGAAGGCGGGAAACAGAGGGACGCCAGGCTCTGACCCCGAGGCGGCCAGTCTGGGGGACCGCACGGTCGGGGGTCGGGGGCGTGTCTTGCCGGCTCAGGTTCGCCCCTCCGGCGTGGTACCCAGGAAGGGGTTTCCCTGGACCCAGACACGAGGTCCCCGGTCGAAGGCTGTTAGAGCTGGGAAGTTTAGAGGACCAGCGACGGGACCGAAGGGATCTCTCACCCACCCACAGGAGAGCAGGTCACTGCAGAGTCGTCCCACACCCTGGGTCCAGACCCCTTTCCATCCTGCTGACTCCTTTTCCAGGCCAAAGATGCTCCTGCCTCCAGGAGGGCTTTGGGGATTGCAGTCACCAGAGCCACCAGCAAGGGCTGGTCTACTAACTCTGGGCTCCTGAATCCCTCACACAGGATACCCCAATTCTATCCCCTAAATATATAAAATAGCCAGGTCATTTACATGCTGTTAGCATACCTCATTCCTGCCCCTCCCTTGCCAGCCCAAATCTTTGAGGAGAAGGCACCTCTGGAAACACCCACCCTCTGTCTTCCACTCTTTGGCCAGACAAGGTTACCCTGTCTGCAAACCTACCTGACCTTCCAACCTTTTCTCCCACTGAGCCCCCTAGTGCTCTTGGGCTGCTGGGTAAGATGGACCCCCACCCATACGGGGGGGCTGGGATCTCTGATTTCAGCTAGGGATCTCAAGAGCCTGAGACCTGAGATGGATGGGGGTGTGGTAGGGCTCGGGCACTGCTGGTGAGGTCCCACCATGACCTTGTGCTCAAGACCAGAGCATCCTCAAACCTACACTGGGAGGCCACAGGTAACTGCAGAGTGGAGTGGAGGCAAGGAATCCCTTCCTGGGTCCTCTGCTTCCCTAGGGACCCAGGGCCTCTGCCTGGGATGGGGGAGCTGTTTCTGGCTCCTGACTGCACCCCCCCCCCCCAGCTCTATTTTAGGCCCAGGAGAGGTGAGAAGGCAATTTCCTGGGAGGTGCTGACATCAATGCTGGAAACGGGGTGACTACCCCCAACAACCACCTGCCACTCCAGACCCAGATACTCGGCAAGGCTGAGCCGATTGGTCCTTCACTCTGGAGACATCTAGGAAACCTCTTTCAGGGTGTAGGGGCTCCCAGGAATGAGGACCTACTATGTGATATTCCTTAGGAACTCAGTCAGGAAGGAGAGAGTGTTTTCGTTTCACAGGTGGGGAACCCGAGACTCCAAGAAAGAGGTACCCATGTGAGCTTCCCAAAGTCCAAGAGCTGGCAGTGAGTGGCCATTTATCCCACCTTCCACTCTCTGACTCCTCCAGACACCAGTGTTTATCTTGTCCCACCAGTTCCAGGGCCACATCAGTGAGCCCCAATCTTGTGTGCCTCCCAGAAGAATAGGTGGGGTTTGTCATTGCACAGTGGAGGGCACTGGGCCTGGGGGAGTCTGGATCCCCTCCCCCAGCATGACCAAGACCACACAGCATGCTCAGTCTGTGGCCTGGGCCTGGTCGAGGCACATTGCTACCATTTTCTGTGGCTCTGGTTCCTTGAGGTTCCTGTTGAGAGTTCTTCCTGGCCCCCAAACTGGTTCTTCTCTGGTGGTATTCTGAGCCAGCTCCCATGGTAGCTCAATTATATGGCCCCATGACCCCCAACAGCCCCCTTTTCTCCCTGGGTGGGCCGCTTCAAGCAGGCTCAGCTGGTATCTTGACCCTCCCTTGAGCGCACCTCACTCTCGAGGCTGAGGTCCCACCTTCCCGCTCCTGTGACTCCTGTGTTGCTTCTGCTACAAGCTTCACACCTCTCCCACACAGGAGCCTGCCTGTTTCTCTCACCCACCTTCTCTCCTGAGGTCAAGAGCTGTGGAGGTAGCATCTCTTCACACCAGGGGCTCCCTGGGAGAATCCTTACCCCAGTACACAGCTATGGAGGGCTACTTTGGTCCCTTCTGCCCATTGCTTGTTTGCTCCAGGAGGAGGACGGGACTCTGGAAATCAGAGACTGGTGGTCACTATTCTGTCTTGATGGCCACCCTCTGGTTCACTCTTGCTGAGGGAGCTGTTAGGCTCTGGTCCCCACCCCCAGCCCTCCTCCAGGAGCCCTTACCACCGAGAGGCCTGGGGCCTCCTTCCCTGAAGTCCTGCCCTCCAGCCAGTTCTTCCCTCAAATTTTCCTGCACAGGGGCCAAGCTGGGCTGATGTGGGGCCAAGATGTAGTCCCAGCAGCTGCAGGTAAGGGAGGGGTGTCTGCTGCCCTTGGCCCCTCTCCTTCCCTCTGCCCAAAAACTCTATCCTGGAAGACATGGTGGGTGGGAATTCCTGCCAACGGAGTCTATCCAGGCCCCATGCCCAGGCTTCGAGGCCTGCCGCAGAGGCCACGCCAGGCGAGGGCAGGGTGGGGCCACGTGAAGAGCAGGACTTAGGGCTTCAGGCAACCAGCTGATGTCCCAGTCCTGGTTAAGGGCTATGTGACCTTGAGCAGGTCTCCCGGTCTCCCCAGGCCGGTTTCCTCATCTGTGAAATGGGGGTTAGAATGCCCCTTCGCGACAGTGTTGCAGGGGGTAGATGAGTGGCTGGCGTCAAATCCTCAGAGCGGCACCTGGTGTACAGAAATGCTCCCTCGATCTGGGCTCACACCATCCATGTGGCCCTGAAGGTGCCATGGAGAAAAACAGCTTCCTGGCCCTTGTCCTAGACCCAAGGGACTCCTTTGTGGCTTGGGGTCTTGGGGCCCTCTACCCTGCACATGGAGAGACTGCCTTTGACAGGATGCTGAGGGGTGGGGAGCAGCGAAAACGCCCAGACCATCAGGACCAGAAAGTCCTTCTGCTTCCTCCCAGATCCCAGCCCAGTGCCCTGTCCTTCCCACTGGGAAAGAACCACTCTCCTCACCTGATGAGACCTTTCCCGAGGGAAGTCTAGTGCTCCTTCCTCCCTCTCAGTTGTCTTTGAGAACCCTTCCTGCAATCTCAAGCTCAGGGAGGAATTGGAGGAGCCTGGGGTCCCAGGGGCATCCATCCTTTGAGAGGTTTGTAGGGCACAAATATAGTCATGCTCCCGAGGGCCCAATATGCCGGGGTTGGGGGGTGTGGCATATACCCCACTCCCCTCTCTCCCCCTCACATGGGATTTCTCGGGTTGTGGAGAACCAGTTGTTGGAAAAGTGGGGGCGGGCCTGGGGACAGGGCGTCTCACAGAACCCCTTAGCAGCTTCACCCACAAGTACACAAGGAGATAGGGCCATAGGTCATGAGGTGGGAGATTAGTGAAAATGAGCTCTGTTGAAAGGTCCAAAAGAGAGGCCTCACAGGTACATGTTGCAGAGGGGAGGGGAGGATAAAAAGTTAGTTTGTTGAATGTTTATAACATCATAACCAGATTTAATTCTTGTGACTTCCTAGTAAGGCAGAAACTACCATTATCTCTGTTTTTCAGCTTAAGAAAACAGCATCTCAGAAGCCTTGCCCCAGGTCAGAGTTAAGGGAAGGACTGGGAAGCGCACTCAGGCCTGTGTGACTTACACTATAGGATTCTCAGAGTATGGAATCTGGACCTTGAATCATAGGGCATCCTTGCTGTTGTCGAGGGGGATTCCAGGTCAGTGTCAGAGAGCAGCCTCAGGGCCGGAGTGCCCACGGTGGCCAGACAAGGGACCAGCCTGGCTGGTCTGGGGACAGGAGGTGTCAGAGACCAGGGAGATAGGGTGGCTGTAAGGAGAGGATGGGCATCAGGGAGAGTGACCAGGAGGACCTCAGCCTGATGGGAGAAGCTGAGGTAGAGGGCACCAGGAGAGGCGCAGGACAAAGGGGGAAGGGGAGCCGGTCTCGGAAGGAGGAACAAGTCTTTGGGTAAGTAGGTCTGTGGTGGTGGCAAGGACAGAGGGATCTAAGGGAGCCGGTGGCCATCAGGGCATTTTATTATTGGAAAGGACTTTTGAAGGTCATGTCATCTAAGCCCCTCACTGAAAGATGAGGAAACGGAGGCCCAGATTAGTAAAGGGACCCCCCAGACACACCGAGTCAGGGTGTGGCTAGATTCCCTGCCTTCCCACCTTGCACAGGTGGAGAGTAGAATTCAGAAAAGGAGTCTGGGTGGAGCTTTCTCCACCCAGGTCACATCTGTGAAGGTGTGCAGAGGTGAGGACAAAGGTCCCCCAGGCCCAGGTCGGGGAAGCAGGGGTGTTAGAGGGCTGGTTAGGGCTCTAGGAGCTGACTCAGGGCAGACATTTGAGGTCTGTGCTGAATGAGGCTGGTACAAGAGGGCAGAGGCTGGGGGAGGGGAGGACCAGGCTAGAGTGGGGTCGAGCAGGGGAGCCAGGTTTCAAGGTGGAAAAGGAGAAAGTGAATCTGCCTTTGAGAATTATCAGGTTATGCGGTGACCTTGGAAGGGACAAGCCCAGTGGAGTGCTTCAGGCAGAGCCTCCGCGGGTTTGGAAGGGCAAGAAGGTGCAGACATGGAGGCAGTGGCTGTAGACCGCAGGAAGGAGCTGGAGAACAGTGGGGGGAGCCTGCTGAATCAATGCAAGTGTTTTCCAGGATGGAGTTTTAGGGCAGAGGGAAGAGATGGCAAACCCAAGAAAAGGAATTTGATGAGGCTGGCTGGGTGTAGAGCAGGGACAGTGACAGGAAGGAAGGACACTGCTTCCTTTGTAGGAGTTGGATGTGGAAAGGGGATCAGGAGCAAGGAGAAGCAATGCCTGTGGAGTCTGAGTCAAGGTCATCTGCAGAGGAGTGGAAGGGGTTTGAATAGTCCCCATGCCAAGGAGCCACTGAGGGCAGCACCCATCTGTCCAGCCTCAGGTCTCCTGGGGCCCCCTTTAGCAGCAGAGCCAAATGAGTGACCAGAGACTGGACAGATGCCGCCTGACCTCCCCTTGGCCCTCAGAGGCTGTGACATACGCTCTCCCACTTGCAGGGGGCTCCTATCTGGCCATCCACTTACTCTGTCCACATCTGCTGGGCTTGAGTCCTGCTTTGGGTCACTGGAGGGCACATCAAGGCCTGACACACTGCATTCCAGCCCTATCCCTTTGCTATTTGTTATTAACAAATTTATTTACAGTTCCTGAACCAAGATTAATTGTGAAATTTAACAGGAATGGCATAAAAAGGCCAAACATGACCTCTATGAGGGTTGTACACACAGTTGCTCTATTTCCAAACTAACAACTCAGGTCCTCACCCACAGCGAGGCCCCCCTTTCTTCCTCCAAAATGAGACACAGAATAGCACCAGGCTTCTTGTAGCTTCAACATTTAAAGAAACAAACACACAGACGCATAGAAGGGTGAGAAGAACCACAGCACAAAATGTAAAAAAAAAAAAAAAAAAAAAAAGTGGCCAAAGAATCAATAGCAAACCCATCTCGTCTCCAGATTAATGGCTTGGCTGAAAGAAATGGGGGGAGGTCCTTGGGGAAGGAGGGAGAGAAGAGGGTGATGCAGAAGTTGGCAGGTGAATCCCGACCCTGGAACAGCAGAAATGGCAGAGGGCAGCCAGGGAAGAGCAGAAGGGTCCCCAGAGGGGGCTCTGGCCATATCCTGGGCTCAGGAGAAAGGTCATTTCAGCGCCAGGCTCCCACCAAATGCAGGGGGGCGAGAGAGCTCTGGAGGTGCTGCAGCCCAGCCCCTCCTCTGCTTCGTATGTTCCTGAGGATCTGTGTGCACAAGCGTGGGGGGCTGGGGGAGGGGACAAACAGGCATTTCAGAAAGCAGGAGAGCCACATGCTCCTGGGAAAGGAGGCTGGGGTGGGGGTGGGGAACACCAAAACTCGGCTCTGCAAGAGGCAAGTACCTTCAGAGGGACAGGAAGCCAGGCCAGGGCTCCTGCCGTTCTAGATGCTTTGTGGTCCCTCCCTATGCCAACCTTGCCTCTGCCTCCTGGTGTGGGCAGCTGGCAGGGATGAGCAAGCCCATCAGATTGCTGCCTGGTCAGGGAGCTGGCTGGAGGAAGGGGTAGAGGGCAGCCCCCAGCCCAGACTCTCTTGGTCCTAACCTAAGACCCAGTGAGTGGGAGGACTGGCTCTGTCGAGCCTACAGAGCTTGGCCATGACAACTGCTGTTCTCTGGGACTTCAAAGGCCAGGCCAGCGGCTCTTCTGGCTCTGGTGGGGAGGCCCTGAGGTGCTGTCCTCCCTGTGCTTGGTCTGGCCTCTGCTGGCTGTGCAGCACTCAGCAGAGTATAACTTCTGTGTATCTGGCCCTCAAGTAGAGAGCTACTGCGTGCCCCCAGGAGACTCATGGTATCAGTTCTCTGCTGGCACTGGGCTAGGGCTGAGACAGGGAGGCTGGGAGGCCCAGAACCATTGGGAGCAGCTGGCTCCCCCGCTGGCTGAGAGCAGGGGACAGAGGTAGACGGGCTCTCTGCGGGTCTTCCTGCAGGCTGCACGTCAGCTGCTGAGTGCAGGTGGGCTGACAGCTGGCCTGGAGCCACAGGGCAGCTAGGGAGCTGGTCAGCCAGGGCCAGGGGCGGCACACTCAGAATCCTCAGATCCCAGGGGGCTGTCCTCCCCTGGCCAAGGGGGCTGTGTGGCCCAGCACTCTGCTGGCCCATCTGTGGGGAGGGGGAGGCAGGTCTGTGGGTGGCACCAGGGAAGGAGAGGGGCCAGAGGCCTGTGCTCACAATCAGGAGGGGGAAGGAAGAGGGGGTGCCCGCCACTGGCTGTCCTGGCGCCACAAGGGCTGGTGGCTCTTGGAACAAAGAATGAGGCCTGTGGCCGGGAGACCCCTGACCTCTTTTCAGGATTGCCACTGGGGAGCCGAATCTTCCGCTTGTGGCCAAAAAGTGCGACATCCGAGCCAGAGAGTTCTGTAGAACCAGAGCTTGTCAAGAGGCTCTGGTGTGCAGGGCTCCTGGACACTGGTGTCTCTGGGGGGTCTGCAATGACATCAACTGACCCACCCAGCTCCTGGCAGCTTGCTACTGGTCCCAGCATCTCACCAGCCCCCACAGGTTCATCGGTTGCCTTCATGCTGCCCACCGTCCCATCCTGCTCTGGAGTGCCTGGGGCCTGATGCTCGTCTTCCTCTTTCATCCTGGGAGATGCTGCCCTGGGATGGCAGGGCTGGCTAGGAGGCGGAGTCTCAGGACACAGCAGGTCATGATCTGAACACGGGGAGCCTGGCTGCCTGCGGGACAGAAACATTGGGCCTCAGGGCTCAACTCCAGAGCAGGTGGCAAGTTGGGATCTTTCTGGGTCAGGGCTGAGGGCAGGGTGTGGGTGGGGCATGCATGGCACTACCCTTCTCAGTTTTAGCATGAAGAGAGTGGCCCGCTCTAGGGCTCTGTGAGAGGCTTGCTCTCGGGCTGCCCCTGCAGTAGTGGCCAGTGCTGTCTGCGTCTCTTTTGGCTCTGTGGCCTGTGGTCAGGGCTGGCCAGAGGAACAGGTTAGAGGCTGTTCCATTTAATAATTCCACAGCAGAGGCTGTGCCCTTTGGCGGCTGGAGAATGCAGCACAGAGCCTGGCTCTCCAAGCTGAGCCCGGGAAGGTGAAGACTTGGGTCAAGAGGAAAGAAGCCACAGCAAGCTGGTGGCAGCAGAGAAAGCTGGGCTGGAGATCCCCCTGCAATCCTTTCTGGGGGTAACTTACAGAGAGGCTGAAAGATACTGCATCTTACCTGTCTGGGAGGAACCCAGGAATCCCCCTCGCTACTTTTAGAAGGCCACACAGGGACATCAGCAGGCACATGCCAGGAGCAGCCACTGCCGAGATGCCCTCCCTACCCACACAACCATGGCGATGGCTATGCATCAGGATGGGAGCCATGTGCTGATCTGGCCCAGTCCCCATCAGCTGAAGCCACAAATGGAGGGCTTCCAACCGCCACCAATCCCTGGTCCTGTTTGGCTCCTTCCCCTCTGGAGTGGGCAGCAGCAGGACGGTGAGGACACGGCAGTGCCCACCATGCCAGCAGGGCCGCTCATGGTGCTCACCTGGGGAGGCTGGCCTGCGAGGGGGTGTCAGCAAAGCTGTGGCCGAGCTGGGCAATGACCCGATCGACTTCTGCATACGGGTGGGCTTCTAGGGCAAAGCCCCGGTGCTGGGCGCTCTGGAGATGCTGCCCGGGGTGAGAGGGGCACAGGGCATTAGTCAAGGCCAGGGTGAGATGCGAGTGGGGTGGAGGCGGGTAGGAAAAGTGCGGTCAGAGCAGCCTGGGAGCAGCTGCTTGGCAGGGAAGGCTCACCGCGTGGAGCTCTTCAAAGGCCTCTTGACAGCACTCACAGAAGCCCTTCCTTCTCCTGGGGGGGGTGCGGGTGGCCAATCGCCGGCTTGGCTCTCGGTCCTTGGGTTCTCTTGAGGAAAGCATTGGGTGGGGGTGGGGGAAAGCAGTCACTGTTGGGGCCCTCGGAGGGAAGGACCAGAACAGTCAGGCAGACCTGCCTACACTTGGCACTTCCCATCCAGGCAACGAGGAAGGCGAGACCTCTCAGAGGGGACCCTGTCTGGTCCCTGCCCACACATCTCAAACCATAGGTGAGGGCGTGTGCCAGGGGCAGCAAAAAGGCCTCCTAGGGCAGTTCCAGCCTGACACTCAAACCTACGCTCATCTGACCTGCAGAATCAAAGGGCCTCAGTGGTAGTGAGGGCACCATACTGCCCCCAACCTCCTCCACCCCGAATATCCCCTTCCCCTGCTTCAGGTGGCTTCCTCCCTCACGCCGGCTTGTTCCTTGCATGGATGCCACCTTCGTTGAGGACTTTCCAATCTCTTTCTCAAACGTGTCTTCTCGTCTGAATTTCAGGCCCATCTTTCTAGTGGCTGCTTGGCTGTATGAGCAAGCTCAACCAAGACAGCCCTCTCTGAGGACTTTCTAAGCACGATGCAAAATGTAGAAAACATGGGAAAAAGCTGATAAATTCAACTACATGCAATCTAAAAAAATGTTTGCATGGCAGAAAATGTAAATAAAAGATAAATCACAAACTGGGGGAGGGGGAGGTGTATTTATAACTAATAGGGCTCATTTCCCTAATACATGAAGGGCTCTTTACAAATCAATAAGAAAAGTGATCAATAACCGAAAAGAAAAATGGGCAAAAGATATAAAGAAGGTTCATATGAAAAGAGTCAAACGATCAAACATATGAACCTACTTAACCTCATTCATAATGAGAAAAATGAAAATGAAAATTACACTAAGATACAGTTTTTAAACTATCAGACTGGCAGAGGTCAGGACATCGGACAGCTCACTGTACCAGCCAAGGCAAGAGGGGAGATGGGCTCAGGGCCAGGGCGTGAGAGCACACACTGGCATCACCCCCACGAAGAGCAATTTGGCTGCATTTATCAACATTATAAATGCAGGTACCCTTTGACCCAGCACCTCCGCTTTTAGGAATTTATTCTTACAAATACACTCTGCGTAAGACTATTCACTATAGCATTATTTATAATAGCAAAAGCCTGGAAATAATCTAAGCATCCATCAGTAAGAGACTGGTTAAATAAAATACTGTAAGACCACACAATGGAAGACACTGAAGCCACAGAAGAGAATGAGGATGCTTTCTAGGGACCAATAGGAAATTAATCTAGAGTACATCGGTGGGGGGGTGCCTGGGTGGCTCAGTTGGTTGAGCCTCCGACTTCAGCTCAGGTCATGATCTCACGGTTCTTGAAGTTCAAGTCCCACATTGGGCTCACTGCTATCAGCGCAGCAGAGTTGGTTTCAGATCCTCTGTCCCCCCGACTCTCTCAAAAATAAATAAATCATTGGGATGCCTGGGTGGCTCAGTCGGTTAAGTGTCAGACTTCAGGTTAGGTCATGATCTTGTGCTCCGTGAGTTCGAGCCCTGCATCAGGCTCTGTGCTGACAGCTCAGGGCCTGAGGCCTGCTACAGATTGTCTCCCTCTCTCTCTGTCCCTCCCCCACTCATGCTCTGTCTCTCTCTGTGTCTTGAAAATGAATAAACGTTACAAAATATATATTTAAAAAAATCATTAAAAAATGAGGATGCTTTCTAGGGACCAATAGGAAATTAATCTAGAGTACATCAGTGGGGGGCGCCTGGGTGGCTCAGTTGGTTAAGCATCCGACTTTGGCTCAGGTCATGATCTCATGGTTTGTGAGTTTGAGCTCCATGTCGGGCTCTGTGCTGACAACTCAGAGCATGGAGCCTGTTTCAGATTCTGTGTCTCCCTCTCTCTCTGCCCTTTCCCCACTCACGATCTGTGTCTGTCTCAAAAATAAATAAACATTAAAAAAAAAAAAAGAATACATCAAGTGGAAAAAGCTAGAAACAGCCCAATGTTATGCTACTCTTTATATAAGAGAAAAGGATGCATAAACTACGTGTGGACACAGACCCACACTATGGAGATTAGAGGGCAGGTGTGGAATACAGACTTTTCATTTTAAACCCTCTGTAACTTCTGAATTTGGAACTAAAATACAATAATTTAAAAATGAAAAATATTAAACATTTCCTCCCACAGATTTTCTCCAGCTCGCCCCTTCTGCCCCCGCCCCTGGGCCACTCTCTCCCTGTAGTCCTCCCTGCTGCATTCTGCTCAGTGAAGGTTCACATTCTCACACATCTGCGGAGGAAGAACACCCACAGCCTATGAAGCACTCTGGGCCACACAATGCGGTAGGTCCCCAGATTCCTTGCCCCTTAGTTATTCCTGATGTTTAGCCCCAAAGGCCTCCAGCTCTGATGTGCATAAAAATCACCTGGGAGCTCACAGGAATGCAGTTTTGGGGGATTCATCATCAGAGACTGTGATTCTGTAGGTGTGGAGTATGAGAACCTGCCTTTTTAATGGGACCCCAGGGGACTCTGATAAAAATGGTCTGTAGACCTGTTAGAAACCAGTCTACTGCCCTCTGGACACAAGTCAAATTCTTCAGTAGGGACGGAAAGCACCAAGTAAAACGGATGAAGACTCCTAGGGTCTGGGCTAAGTTCCCAGAATAGACTTTGCCTAAGGAGCGAACACATGGCCATTCCCAAATCAGACCAGCAGGCTCTGGAGGGGAAGGACCTTGCCTGCAACCAGCCCTTGGTACTCAGACCAGAAAGACCCACCTGGTATGATGCGAGCTGCCCAGGGTCATCGGGGCTTCAAAAGGGCTTGCATCTTTGGGTCCCAGAAAAGAAATTTCAGGAAAGGATTTAAACTGATGGTGGAAAGGACGAAACTTCCTGAAACACAGAAAACTTCCATTTTGACTACAGTGGGGCAAGGATAGGATGAGGAAAGCGGCCAGTCCCAACCCCCTAGAATTCCAATCCTGATAAAACGGCCACTCCCCTGCACAGGGTTTTCGGTTCTAGAACCAAACCTCACCAGCCTTCCTGGTTAGATGAATATTTATGCCCTCCCGGTCTACTCATCAAAGCCCAGTTTACCTCGCTGCCTCATCTGAGCTAACGGGAACAAGTGGTTCTTAGCCCATTTTTACACAAGAGGAAACGGAGCCCAAAAGGTTCTGTGACTTGCCCAAGGGCTCACGACTGGTGAGTGGTCAAGACCAGGCAACAGGGCATGTCTCCCAACTAGTGATCTATCTCTCTACTTTGCTTCCTGACCCTGAACCACCTTTAAGGGGGCGCCTGGCTGGCTCAGTCAGTGGCGCATGCGACTCTTGATCTTGGGGTTGGGAGTTTGAGCCCCACATTGGGTGTGGAGATTATTTAAAAATAAAGTATTTAAAAAATAAATAAAACAAACCATGTTTGAGGACTCTAGCCTGACAGACCTAAATGGAGGAAGGTTTAAACCAGAACAGTGATTTTCCTATTCCAAGAAGAGGAACATTTTTGCTCTGGGCTGCTCCTTTGTACCACCCGAGTGGAGGTATTCTGAATGGGAAAGAGAAGCACAGTGAAGGTTCTGGGTAGTCAGATCTATACTGAGTTGTTTTGGTGGTTTGCCTAAAGTTGCTCATGTTCCAGAAACTTTCAGAACCAGATCTGGGGATCTGTGGATACTCAGCAAAGCCTGCTCATAGAACTTGCAGGCTTGGAAACCACGTTTGGTTGAAACAGTGGGCACTCCAGGAGAGAATGCAGGCCATGGGTTCCCCGGGCAGGGCATGGTGGGAGCCCTGTGGCCCACAGGGTCTTCTTGGATCCTTAAGAAGAAGGAGGTGCACTTCACCACCCCAGTACCCCTCTTTCTTCCTCCTCAATGTTTTGTTTCTGCTTAGAAGGTTGCAAAGTTGAGGTGGGTGAAGCTACAAGGCTTCAGAAGAGCGCATAAACAGAACCACAAGAAACCTCATCTCCACTCCTGCCTGTGATGCCAGGGGCACACAAACACGTGGACACCATTCCAGTAAGTGATGTCGCCTGTGCCACGTGCAGTGAGACGCTGAGGCACTGGTGGCGTCTCTTATGCCGCTGTGTATGAGTCATCGCTACTTGTATTTAACTGGTAGTGAAGGGGCTGAGTTTGGGAAGTACCCCCCGCCCGCAACTGGAACTGAAGGAGAGAGCACCTCATTACCTTTCTGTGTTCCCTCCGCTAATTTTTGGGTCACCAAAGCCAATTCTGTACTGTGGTCAGGTACAGAGAAGGAAATCTAGGTCCAGCTGGAGAGTAGGCAGGCATGCCAGGCTCCCAGCACCGGGTCTTTTAGCTGCCCTGCCTGAGGCTTAGGGACCCAGAAAGCTCTGGTCCTGGGAAGTCTCTGCTAGGTTCACATGAGCTTTTGCTTTAAAAATAAAAAAACAAAAAAATCTTTAGGGGCACCTGGGTGGCTCAGTTGGGTAAGTGTCCGACTTCGACTCAGGTCATGATCCTATGGTTCGTGGGTTCAAGGCTCAAATTGGGCTTTGTGCTGACAGCTCAGAGCTTGGAGCCTGCTTTGGATTCTGTGTCTCCCTCTCCCTAAGAAAAACCTCTGAGATAATTATAGATTCGCAGGTTTTTGATCTAGTGCTTATCGAAGAGTCAGTAATAACCAAGGTGACTAACAGCTCATAGATTATAACCAATGTGACCCTCCCGCTCTAGGTAAGAAGGGGCCATACTGGTGGACATTTAGGGCTGAGTGAAAAGGACACCAGGCAGGACATCTGGATTCTGGCCTCGGGCTAAGATTCATTGGCAAAATGGCCGTATACAAGTCCCTTAATTTCTCTGACCTTGATTTCCCCACTAGGAAAAGGGTAGAGTCTCCTCATGCCAGTCTTTCTCCTCATGAGAGAGCAGCTGTCAGAAAAGGGTTTTGCACAGCCAACCAGAAAGGCTTCCAGTACAGGGTGGTTTGACAAGAGAGTCTCCAACACCACCCCAAGAGCCCTGGCTTTGGTCACGAGGACCATACTGGCACTGTCCTGGGCCAGCAACAATTCGGTATTAAGCATCAGTGTATGCCACAGGGAAACGAGGAGCAGTAATGAGCCTGGATGTGACATCATGTGCTCATAAAAGCAGAGCATTAGAAAGAGGTAATTCACACACAGGGTCACTAACCTCTGACTCATGACCAAGAGGAGTGCCACCTGTGCAATGCCACCTTCAGAGGCTCCTCCTGGTCTGTGGGAGACTTCTCCATGACAGGGGGAGAAAGCAGTTTCTGGGGAAGACGAAGGTGCAGGGCTGAGGGGCTCCATGACCCCCACGTCAGCTTGGGGCCCCTGAGCACCTCTCCTCTGTGCGGGCCTAGTGGGTCTGAGGGGAGGGAAAGGGGAGAGGCCCCCCCACCCCCCAGCCAACCACCACTACTTGCCTGCTCTCATCTTCAATTTTGAGGAATGGTGCCTTCAGTCTGGCCACTGGAAAGAAAAAGCACACACGTCAGCCATCTGTGGGCTCCGATGCAGGGCCCACACCACACACACACAGGAAACGCTAGAGAGGTAAGGCTCTGCCAAGGTTTAAGAGTTGCTCAGAGCAGGAGCCTACGCCACCCCGAGGCACACCTTTCCATTTGGCTGAGGCAGGACACCCATTCCCATCTCCTCCGGCCTCTACCCTGGGAGAGAGAATTCCCCCACTGGGGAGAGGCCGCAGGGTGCCCCGAGCCCCAAAGCAGGGTACAGGACCCTCCCGTGTGTGGATTCTGGAGGCTGTGAGCCGCAGGTCAGAAACCTGGCTGCGGGGCAGAGCCCAGCCCCAGCTGGTTTCTGCTTAAAGCCCTGGGTCCTTCCCTGACCTTTCCTCTTGGGAGTCTCAGAATCCTGAGGGGCCCGAGAACACTCTTAGGCAGAACACTCCCGGAGGATCCTGGGTTTTCTGGGGGAAAGCTGGGAGGAAGAGAGCTAAAGAGTGTTTAGGGATCACAGCAGAGGGCAGTAAAAAAAAACGTATCAAGGGTGAAATCTCGTTCCTGAATGAAGAGGGCAAAGGGGTGCTGGGAAGACAAATTTGCTCAGTTAATCAGGAGATTCATCCTCTACTAGCTAATTATTCACACAGTTTCTAAAACCTCTTAGGTATTAAGAACCACCTCTACTTCCCACAGTGACCAAAGCCCTGTCAGAGATAACAGCCCCAGACCCCATCCAGAGGCTGGCGCCTCCCAGCTCGCAGACCCACTCCAGGCTCCACCAGCGCCCAAGCAAAAAGCAGCCTCACTCCTCACATGGCAGCAGCTCCCATTAATTACTTTTTGGGGGCGATTTCTTGTCTTTCTAATTAACTCAGACAGTGATTAAAATCAATTCCCCCACAGATTTCCTTGAATTTTGAACATGAGAGGTGCCAAGTGACTTTTCTTAGCTCCTGCTTGTGCACGAATAAATGCCACTTAAAGAGCATCTTTGGGAGAAACATCCAGGGGGAGAAACTCTCTTGCGGTCCAAGAGGGGCTGGGAGCCGGGCTGTCAATCTGCCTGTTTGTCAATTTCAGGGAGTTTGGCATTTGGGAAAGTGGTAGGCAGCTGTCAAACTGCCCACCCCAAACTGCTCTTGAATCAGAAGGAAAAGGAAGCCGAACTTCAGTTAATGCCCAGAACGGGCAGGGGATGTAGGAGCCAGAGCGGCCGCGTGGGGTCTTGGCGCCAAGGAAGAGCCCCGGCTGGGCAGCCCTGGACTTGCTCATGGATACCCCTCTCTTGCCCTCCTGTCTGCAAAGCTCAGGCCCTGGAAACACAACAGGGCAACACAACCTGGACTCGCTTCCTGCCGCAGAAAAGTGAGCAGATGCTGCCACAGAGGGAGCCGTGGGGAAGCGTTTAGGAGGGAGGGACTGCAATTAGATGAGGAAAGCTACCACACTGACCTTTCCGCGTTCTTGACTCTGCTGGACACGTTCCCTAAATGGAAAGGGAAAATAGGTTAAGGATGCGAGGGAGCTAGAGGGTCGAGGAAGAGGGCCCGGTGAACCGAGTCGCTGTGAGTCTGCCCCACTTTGCTTCCTGCTATGGGCTGGGCCCTGAGCGGAGCCAACTTGACAGGACGGCTCCCTCTGCCTCCCCAGGGACATGAGGAGCGGTGAGTGCGGTGTGTGCATCTCAGTGGCAGCTGATTTTGTGGAGGAAATGCAGGACAGTGAAGAGCAAGAGCCACAGAAGCCCCAGGCCTGGGCACCAAGTGGAGCTGTGCCACCCGGGGTGTGACAAGCACCTCCCTACCTGGCCGATGTGGCACAAATGCAAACAAAGTAGATAATAGACTGATGCAGAGCAGGTGCTCACTAAATGGCAGCTTGCATTTCCTAGGCACTGCTGGCATCCCAGATCAGCTTACAGGACAAGTGTAAAGAGACTGCCTCTTGCCTTCCTGTGCCCTGTCTTGTGTATTAGGACTCTCTTGGTCAAGACCAACGTTTAGGCCAAGGTCAAACTAATATTCCAAACTAAATGGAAAAATGTAAGAAAGCAGGTAGAATTGGGGTAGGGGCGGGCAGGAGAGATCTAGTGGGTCCATGACTGTCTGTGCCTCTGGGCCCAGTGAGATTAGGATTCTCTAGGCCACACCTCCAGGGCAAACATGACCCAAAGCAGCTTCTGTATTTCCTCAAACATCAGCAGACTGCACCCAGAACTCACTCTGGAAGATCCCTAAGTATCTACAAAATAGATTATTAAGTGAACAAAGCAAAGTAAAAATACTGTGCATTTGCATAAAGGGGGGGGGGGGACTTTGACCTATCTGTTTGTACATGCACGGATCCTGGAAGGAAACCTGAAAAACTGTTTGCACTGTTTATCTCAGGGAGGGAGCTTGGTGGCTGGGGAAGAGAAGTCGCAGGGGAGAGAGACTCATTGCATAACCTTTTGAATTGTGAACAATGAAAATCTATTTAATAGCAGCAGCAAAACCCCGAAGACTCCCAGACCAGAGGGTGTGGAGCGAGGGGAGCTGAGGCAGAGGTTCCATCTGGTATGGCTGTGGTCTACTACCACTGTTGGTCCTATTCCTGGGTGCCAGGCCCTGGGTGAACCTGCAAGGCTTAATCCTTTCTCAGATTTAGACTGGATGAAGACACCGTGACTTTAAAAATCAGCCTGGGTTTTGGTGTGTGGTACACACAGTTCCAACTCCAGCAAAGGAAGGAAAAGCCAAATAAGAATTTGGAAGGTGACAGCTATTTCAAACCACAACATCCCCTGCCCCCACCCATGCAATCTGCAGGCTCATCCCTGGCCAAGAGCTGTCCCCGGAACAGCAGCCTGGCCAGCAGGCCATGATCATTTATGTTTTATCTAGGCCAGGACTACCCACAGGCAGTCCCCGGCCTAGGCCACGGTGAATGCCTCAGTATACCACGGGAGATCTGTAGGTAACACAGGGAAGAGGGAACAGGGCAATGGGAGGCTGTGGACATCAGGGGTGTGCTGAGAGGCTGCACTTCTTGTACATGATCCAGGATGGCCAAGAACACACGGCTGCACGGGGCACTGATTTACCAAAGTTGTCACAGACTTCACTGTTTACAAACCATCTATTTCCTTTCAGTTCAGCAGGAAGACTTACCTCTGGCTTCTTCTTTGGCCCCTGTTTCTTCACACGCAAGGCGTCAAGAGACAGCTGTTGCACGTGCATCATCATTTCTGTGGAAGAAACAGAGGGCTGTGGCCAGACTGCCACTCCTCATCTCCCCAGCATGGCCCCTTCCTGGGGCCAGGGGCTATACTTTTCACTGGCCTGGTCCACTGGATCACACCAGCCTTGCCTGCCACCTTCTGGCTATGTGTCACCTCTGCACCTGCTGATAATAAAAGAAAGGGCTGGGTCCTCTATCCTGGGAAAAGTACCTAAGCTGGCCCCACTCTGTTTTGTAGTACTGGACACAACTCTTGAACAGGAGGTGCCTTATGGCTCACAAGGGCTTTAATGTGCCACTGAAGAGCTGCTTCCATTGGGAGGAGACCAGCCATGTGACTTACTCAGATGTAGCTGTATATGGCAGACCCAGCAGGAGCTTCCCTAACACACTGGAAGGCAGGAAATTAGACCACGTCAGAAATGGCTGATTTTCTAGTGACAATGGAGCCCCCCACATCCCAGACCAGGACCTTCCTGAGCAGTTTTCTATTGCCCTGGCAGATCTTGGGCTGGATCGGGTTCAGCCCCCTACAATGGATTAGAGAAAACCCTGGACTCAAGGTGGAGCTGCGTGTGAGAGTCAGTCACTGCCAGCCGATTCTTTTTTTTTTTTTTTAAGTTTATTTATTTGGGGGCACCTGGGTGGCTCAGTTGGTTAAGCATCCAACTCTTGTTTTCAGCTCAGGTCATGATCTCATGGTTCATGGGTTTGAGCCCCGCATCGGGCTCTGTGCTGACAACATAGAGCCTGCTTGGGATTCTCTCTCTCCCAATCTCTCCTTGCCCCTCCCCCGCTCGTGCTATCTCAAAATAAATAAAAACTTAAAAAATAAAAAATAAAGTTTATTTATTGACACAGAGAGAGTCTGTACATGTTGTGTGTGCCAGCAAGCATGAGCAGGGGAGGTGGGGGAGAGGGAGGGAGAGGGATAGAGAGGGTGAGAGAGAGAGAGAGGGTGAGAGGGAGAGAGAGAGAGAGAGAGAGGGTGAGAGGGAGAGGGAGGGAGGGAGAGAGAGAGAGAGAGAGAGAGAGAGTGTGATATGATCCCAAGCAGGCTCTGTGCTGTCAGTGCAGAGCCCAACGTGCGGTGCTCGATCTCAGGAACCATGAGATGATGACCTGGGATGAGTTGCTTAACCAACTGAGCCACTCAAGTTGCCCCTAGGATAGCTATTGTAATGTAAATTTATTACAGCCTGCAAACAGGTGGTTACAGCGAGGAAACCCTACATAAATACGAAAAAAAAAATTTTTTTTTTAAATTTTTTTTAACGTTTATTTATTTTTGAGACAGAGAGAGACAGAGCATGAATGGGGGAGGGTCAGACAGAGGGAGACACAGAATCTGAAACAGGCTCCAGGCTCTGAGCTGTCAGCACAGAGCCCGACGCGGGGCTCGAACTCATGGACCGCGAAATCATGACCTGAGCCGAAGTCGGCCGCTTAACCGACTGAGCCACCCAGGCGCCCCACGAAAAAAGTTTAAGATTTTATTAAAAAAAAAAATGTTTTTAGTTAAAATTTTGTATAAAAATAATTTTAAGAAATTAGAGGTTATGCCAAATGTGGGCCTCGAACTCACACCCCCAAGATCAAAGAGTTGCATGCCCTACCCACCGAGCCAGAGAGGCTCCCCGAAAGCACATGAAATTTAGTCAGGTCAAACTAGGTTGGAATGTGGGCCACACCCCTCACTTCTTTTTTATATGACTATTTTTTTTTTTTTAACGTTTATTTATTTTTTTGAGACAGAGACAGAGCATGAACGGGGGAGGGGCAGAGAGAGAGGGAGACACAGAATCCGAAACAGGCTCTAGGCTCCGAGCTGTTGGCACAGAGCCTGACGCGGAGCTCGAACTCGCAGACCGTGAGATCATGACCTGAGCCGAAGTCGGACACTCAACCGACTGAGCCACCCAGGCGCCCCACACACCCCTCACTTCTGATGAAACTATGGGTAATTTATTTAACATCTAAGGCTCAATTACCTCATCTGTACAATGGACAAATGACTGCAGTGGGGACTGACTTGAGCTCATTCCTAGCACAGAGTCACAGCTGGTAAGTGGTTGTGGCTACCAGGAGGGTTTCCGGTTTGTGAAAAGGGTCATCACACCAGCTTGAGGAGAGCTGTAGGGCGTTCCACAAAGCAGCACCGTCCTAGGTGCTAGGACCGAGCACCTGCTAGGACTACTGCTGGTCTCCACACCCCCCACCGCTGGGGGGCCACATGATGAGTGGGTACATTCGGCTTTCAGCTAGCTCATACTGGCTGACATCCCTCTAAAAGCGGATGTTCCCAGTCAGTCACCAACACCCCTCTGCAGAAGCCCTGGGCAGAAATGGTACCGTCCACATGCAGGATCCTCACTCCCCAGGAGCGGGCACTGGTCAGGAGACTGTTGCTGCTCCCGCCACCTCCTCCGCTGCTGCTCCCCTGGGAAGACAAAGCAGTCAGGCAGGAGCAAGAGACTCCCCAAGGCCTGAGCGCTCTGAGGCACCCCGTGAAGAGACGTTATGGGAGAGTCTACCCCAGTCCCCTGAAAGACCCTCTCCTCCACAAGCGCTGGCCACAGCGGGAGGCGGGGGCTGCTGCTCCAGGCACTTGTGACCAGGAAGCAGCACAGGCTTCCCAGAGAGCTGTCAGGAGGGCCTCTTGGAGGAAAGCTCTCACAATAAATACTGGCGACCGACCGACCGACCGTCACCATCATCAAGCAGGAAGCTGTGCTGGCCTCAGGCCGTTCCTGCCCTGCTGCCCCAGGACGGCACACAGCCTTCCCCCGCCACAGCCTGCACCCCCTTCTCGATGCCACTTTACCCACTGTGCTCCCGAGATCACCTGAACTCCTCTCCCCGCTGCTTCACTTTCATGGCTCTGGGTCCCACAAAAGGGACAAACTGCTAAAAGATGCACAAAGTCCGGCTTATGTGCAGCGCGGCATCCCCTCCAAGGTGCTCGTGCTAGGCTCTGGTGTTGGAAGGATTAGGGAGTCAAATCTGGGCTCTACCACCGCCACCCTGGGCGACCCTGGACAAATCACTGAACTTCTCTGAGCTCTACTTCCTCATTTGTAAGAAGAAAAGAAGGACGGTACGTCTCACAGGTTGTGCGTTCTGTGTCAGTACTTCAGAAGCCCGTCCTAAGAAAGGTTAGATCCTCCCCTGTGCCAGAGAAGTCCACCTGCAGCCCGCCCCCCTCCGCTCACCTGGTTTCTGATGGCTTTCTGCAGTAGCTCCTTCCCTCTGCTCAAAGGCACCTGACAGGAAGAGAAGGGCAATGAGGTACGCTGTGCAGCCCACCTGTGCACAAACAGATGTTCACACAGGTGCTGGTGAGGGCTTGGGAGTCATGTGTCTTGGAAAGCTGGGAGCATTGACAGCTGAGGAGCAGCAGAAACAGAAGCCTAGAGAACCTTTTGGAGGTAAAGGTAAAGCCACACACAGTCCCGGGTCACCCACAGGTAGCTGCAGCTTGGACCCAGGTGGAGAAGCGCATTCTGAATTTACCCAAGGCCAAAGTGTCACCAGTACTCTCAGACCTCTCTTTACAAGTCTCCACACCCCCGGCAGACAGGTCTGGGCCAATTTCAACACGCCCTCTCTGGTTTACAGAGGACCTTCCTATTGTTTTTGACCCTCTGACTCTGAAGTCCCTTAAAAAGTGAAATGTATCACAGAAGGGACAGCGTGGGGATAACCAGTTGCGAAGGTTTTTAGATCTAGAGCTATGATAAAATATTTTCAGTCTCTGAATTCAAATGAGAGGTTAAATTAATCCAGATGGAACTAAAGCCAGAGACCGCCCACAACGGCTCACCGGGGCCTATTTCCGTTGCTCAGAAAACACACCTTTCCTACCTGACGAGGTTCTTACCGAGTCTGTGGGTTTCTGTGGAGGCCGGGGGTGGCCGCACTTCGGATGGGCCGTGGACGGTGTCTGCACCCTGACCTCGCTGGGACTGGGGCAGCCTCTGTGGTCTGTCGCACTGCTCTCTGCCTTCACTTCCCTGCGGCTGGACACGATGTAACTTACTTCTTTGCTCAGAAAACCCTCAATTACCTGAAACCAGATCACAGAGGTGGCTGAAAACCAGAAGGCAGAGGTAGAATTATCGATTCTGAGAGGTTGGGGAAGGAAATCTTGGCTGCCAGAAGTTTCAGAATCAATGTCCTTAAATAGACCAAGTGCAGTTTTGTACCGAGCCCTCAAGAGGACATCATCCTGAAACATAATAGGGTTTATATATATAATACAGGTTTTGTCTCCAGAACTGCTGCTCCTGACCCAGCAGCAGAAGGCCACAGGCTCTGTGGTTTGACCAGATTGAGTCTGCACAGAGAAAGAGCACACTGGCGGGGCCCAACAGGATTAAAAGTAGCTGGTTAAGCCATGGCATTCCTGTGAAGATACTCGGGGGCATCCAGACACCGCGCCTGTGATCCTGACCACACTACCAAAAATAGGAACAAAAACATGAAACAAGACAAGAGTTTGGCTGCTACTGAGCTGCACAGGTATCTGCTCATCCTACCTGTAAGCTCCTCGTTGGCACTGAGAGGGTCTGACTCATCTTTGTATCCCAAGGGCCCAACACAGTGCCTGAAGCACAAGGACACTCAACTCATATTTGTGGGGAGAAGAAAAGATGGATATAAGCAGTGGCGAGGTGGCTAATGCTTAGTGACCCACTCGCCAGGGAAAAATCCCTGCCACGAAGCATGTGCTGATTTCTGGGGGGTCAGAACTCCCGCTATGGCTGACTGCAAGCTACTGACATGATGTTACTGAACGTGGAACTGGAAAGAGATGCTAACAACTGGCTCCACCTCCAGCACACCACTAAAAGTCAGGATGAATGATGGCCCTCTCTGAAGGGTGGACTGGATGAGAAACCTAGCACTGAGCTTAAAACAAAACAAAAACAAAACAAAAAAACCAACAACTGTTTAAGTCCCTCAAAAAGCTAAGCACGGTCTACCAACGTCTACCACTTCTAGGAACGCCCCCCAAAGAACTGGAAACAAGGACTTGAACAGATACTTGTACATCCTTGCTCACCGCAGCATTATTTATAATAGCCAAAAAATGCAAATAACTCAAGTGACCAACAGATGATAGACAAAATGTGATGTGTACATACAACAAAATATTGCTCAGTCATGACATGAAGTGAAGATACACGCTACAACATGGATGAGCCTGGAAAAGATTACACTAAGTGAAAGGCGGCAGACACAAAAGAACGACTATCTGTGAGTCCACTGACAGGTCTCTAGAATAGGCAAATTCACAGAGACAGACGGTGGATTGGGCAGGGGTTGCAGAAAAGGGAAGTGGGAAGTTCTTGCTTACTGGTTACAGAGTGTCTGTCTGGGGTGATAAAAGTTGTGGAAACAGTGGTTACGGCGGCCCAGCTGCATGAATGTAATTAATGCTGAAAACTGTACATTTACAAAGGATTAAAATGGCACATCTTATGTTGTGTACGTTTTATCACAAAAAGAATCTTTAAAGTTATGGCTTGAATGAGAGTACCTATGTTCTGTAATATGGCAAAAACAAATGGGGGGGGGGAGGAGGACAATGACTGTCCTATATAAACGCGGCCGATGGTTCGATGGCTGCATGTGGCTCCCACTCCAGTCTGCCTACTCTTCTGCAATGTGACGGCTATTCCTATCAGGAGGCAGAGCCCCCTCTTCCATCGCCTTCAATCAGACTCCTCTGGAACAATACAATGTAGTGAAACGTGTTCCAGAGCCTGAGTCTCAAGAGGTCGTGTAGCTTCTCCCTTCACCTTCTTAGAAAGCTACCATGAGACCGCCGTGTCAACAGGCTGGTCTAGCTTACTGTATACACGTATGATGTTACGCATATATACAACATATGTAAGAAGCCTCTCAAACGACACCTGAGAAGCCATAGAGAGGCAGCCAGCACCAACTCCCAGATGTGTGAGGTCAACTCCATCCTTCCAGCCAAGCTGACCCTCCACCCAAATGCAGCTGTAGGCGGGAGCCTTGATGAAACCAACAGAGAAACCACCCAGCTGCTCCACAGAGTAGTAAGAAATAACTTGTTTTAAGCTCCAGTTCTGGAGTGGTTTTTTCACACAGCACAGGCTAAATGATAGAAGGGACTAAAAGTTCAAAAGGTAATTTGGGGCCAGTTTGGGTGTATAATCAACACTTGGTACATTCCCCATTGCCAAGCTTCTATATTCCTGAGCTTCTGTTCATTTGACAGAAAAGAGCCTCTGCATTCCAAGCTTATTCAAGTCATTTCCCTAGTTGCCCGCCTCTTTGGAGCCGAGCACTATCATCCCATTTTCGAAACTCGAGAGTTCCCCATGTCAACCCCTTACTAAAAGTGCCACGCGGCACACACATGGCTTAAAAATATTTTAAAGGACTCAAATACGGCAAATGCTTCTTATGGGAAGTTTTTCACCAGTGTTATGTAAAAGAGTTAAAATTTAGAAATAATCTCAATGTCCACAGAGTAACCATTAGGTAAATTAATAATCCACTCAAAGAAATATATTCTCATTACAAATAACATGAGGGACAATAACGATAGCAAAGTGCTAATGCTTTAAGGTTATGGGCAAAACGTTGGTAATCAAAAATGTATTCATGATCACATAGCTACACAGAAAATAAACATAAAAAAAAAAAAAGAATAGAGACAGAAGTAGAGGAGTGGTTACCCAGGTTGGGTGTATTGAGGAGAAATGGGGAGTGACCGACAACAGGTATGGCTTTCTTTTTTGGGGTGATGAAAAGGTTCTAAAATTGTGTATTCACACAGCTTGCCTATCTCTGTGAATACACCAAAAAACATTGAGTTGTACATTTTAAATGGGTGAACTGTATGGTATATGGATTACATCTCAAGAAAGCAGTGAAAAAAGGGGCACCTGGGTGCTAAGCCTTCAACTCTTGATTTCAGCTCAAGACATGACCTCACAGTTCGTGAGTTCGAGCCCTGCATTGGGCTCCATGCTGACAGTGGGGAGCCTACTTGGGATTCTCTGTCTCCCTCTCTCTCCACCCTTCCACTGCTCGCTCTCTACCTCTCTCTCTCAAAATAAAGAAATAGATATTAAAAAAGAAAAATAATAATAAAATGAAGCTGTGAAAACTAAGAGTCCAGAAGCGAAGATATCAAATACCTAGAAGTCACAGATACAATCCCTCTCCAGCTCCTGCCCGATAACCCACAAAGGCACATGATATCACAAGTCACAAGCAGGTTACATACCCCACCCAGCTGCTGGATGGCCCCCGTCAAAAACTGGAGACTCTTGCCAGCAGGCAGATCCAGATAAAAGGACTTTCCAGAGAAGGGCTGCCTCCCAGCATCTGCAGAGCTCATCCGGCATTTTTCCAGACAACTGGAAACTTCCAGTTGAGCCCCTAGGAAAGAACAAAAGGGAACAAAGTGAGAAGCATGGGCTGAGAGTCACGCAAGCCGAACAACGCTCAACGACAGCCTCTGTGGCATGCCCCCGCTAGACCCTGGGCACATAAAGATGAACCTGGGACTGGCGTTCATTCCTACCTTCATGAAGCCCAGATGTGAAGGGATCAGAACCCTGGTACGTGGATGGCAGGAACCTAAAATGGTGCAGCCACTTGAGGAAATAGTTTAGCAGCTTCTCAAAATGCTAACCATAAAGTTAACATGCGACCCTGCAATCCCACTCTTAGGCATAAACCCAGGAGAAACGAAACTGTATGTCCAGATAAAAACATGTATAAGAATGTTCATAGTAGCATTATTCATTCAGCCAATAGGAAATAATTCAAGTGTAAATAAAATAATAAGCAAAATGTGGTGTATCCATTCAATAGAATATTATTGGGCCAATAAAAAAACAAACAAACAAACAAACAAAAAAAAACGAGCCACTGACAAATGCTACAACCAGGATGAATCTCATACACATGCTAAGTCAGAAAAGCCAGATACAAAGACCACATATTATATGATTGCATTTATATGAAATGTTCAGAAAAGGAAAAGATACGGAAATAGAAATTGGATTAGTGGTTGCTTAAGACCGAGGGTGGGAATAACAAGTGACTGAAAATGGGCATGAGGTTCTTTTTGGGGTAATGAAAATATTCTAAAATTAAATTGTATTAGATGTACAACTCTGTAAAGTAACTAAAAATCACTGAAAGCATACAACAAATGAATTTTATAGTGGGTAAGTTACACCTCAATAAAGCTAAAAAAAAAAAAAAATCCAAAAAACAAAAAACCCAACCCTTCAGTGAATATAATCTTGAGATTTGTGCATTTCTTTGTATATAAAAGAGAAAAACCTATAAATACATATGGGATTCTGATCAATGAAATGCATGCTATATTATTTAGAGAGAAAGGTACTGTCTACAAATCCCTTGAAATGTATCAAAAATATAATGAATAGAAATCCATCATGATAGGGGCGGCTGGGTGGCTCAGTTGGTTGAGTATCAGGTTCAGCTCAGGTCATGATCTCATGATCTCATGATCTTGAGACCCACAACAGGTTTGATGCTGTCAGTGCAGAGCCTGCTTTGGATCATCTGTTCCCCTCTCTCTCAAAAATAAACATTAAAAGAAATCCATCATGATAAAATAAATATATTAAAATGTCAATGATAAAATCTAAATGGTGTGTATATGAATGCTCAATGTAAAAGTCTTTAGACTTTGTTGCAGGATTGAAAACTTTCATAAAAAAACCTTAACGCTTGAAGAGATAGGGGTGCCTGGGTGGCTCAGCTGGTTAAGTGTCCGACTCTTGGTTTTGGCTCAGGTCACGATCTCACGATTTCGTGAGTTCCAGCCCCGCATCAGGCTCTGCGCTGATGGTGCACAGCTCACTCGAGATTCTCTCTCTCCCTCTCTCTGCCCCTCCCCCACTCACACTATCTCTGTCTCTCTCAAATAAAACTTAAAATAAAAACCCAAAACTTGAAGAGATAAAAAGGATTCAAGAGAATGTGACAACCACTGAAGCAAAGAACTTCTAATATACAGATGAGAGTCCCTGAAGACAAAAAATACAACAAAAATCCCAAAATACTAAAATCATAGTTCCCTGAAATAAAAAAATGTTTTGAACTAACAAATTCGAAGAGTTTATCACATAGTTGAAAAAATGGACCCAGAACAGCAAACACCATGATATAGTTAATAAAACTGCTGGATTTTACAGGAGGGGTTTGAGGCGCCTGGGTGGCTCAGTCAGTTAAGCATCTGACTCTTGATCTCTGCTCAGGTCAAAATTTCATAGTTCGTGAGTTCGAGCCCTCCATTGGGCTCTGTGCTGATAGTGCGGAGCCTGCTTGGGATTCTCTCTCTCCCTCTCTCTCAAGGTATATAAATAAACTTTGAAAAAACTGTGTCATTGACTTGGCCGTTTAGAAAGTAAAAAATAGGGGCGCCTGGGTGGCTCAGTCGGGTAAGCTTCTGACTTCAGCTCAGGTCATGATCTCGCGGTTTGTGAGTTCGAACCTCGCATCAGGGTCTGTGCTGACAGCTTGGAGCCTGGAGCCTACTTCTGATTCTGTGTCTCCCTCTCTCTCTGCCCCTCCCCCGCTTATGCTCTGTCTCTCAAAAATGAATAAATGTAAAAAAAAAAAAATTAGAAAGTAAAAAATAAATAAATGAGGGGTTTGGAACAGATATTTTTATAAATCTCCTAAAACTCCTTGACTCCATAAATTCCTGCATCGCTCCTTGCTACTGCCCAGTCAGACTCATTTGCACCTCCTCAGTATCTTTCTTCTTCTGAGTTCCACATTACTTATTATCTTTCCTCCTAGTATTTTTCAGCTTCATATTCTTGTTTACTCCTTCAGGATGAACCCCTGGACTCCCCATCAGACTGGGAACTATTTAGGGAAGAGATGTTGACTTACATATCAGCATTATTCCCCCCAAACCAGAGCCTGCTCTCCCATCCTCAGCTGGCACCTGACCTTCCGGCACTTACCTTCTGGCCCCCTAAATCTCTCCCTGAAAGCCCTAGTTCAGAGACAGAAAATACTGGAAAGTCACCTTGACATTTCACAGAAGAGACCTTGTTGTGAGTCCCTGCTCTGCTTCTTACTAGCTGTGTAACTCTAGGCAAGTCACAATCTCACTTCATGTCTTTGAATCTCTATTTCTTCACTTCTGAAAGAGTGATAATAATTAGTACCCACCCCCTTTGGACAGTCCATATGCAGTAAATCAAATATTGTAAATTGTGTCACATAATCGTATTGAGGGGATATTTAAATACTTAACAGGCATTGTGATAATATGGATGAATTACATAGAATATGAATCATACCTCAATAAAAAACTATCGTTAAACAATTTTTAGGGGTGCCTGGGTGTCTCAGTCAGTTAAGTGTCCGACTTCGGCTCTGGTCATGATTTTGCGATCTGTGGGTTTGAGCCCCTGCGTCAGGCTCTATGCTGACAGCTCAGAGCCTGGAGCCTGCTTTGGATTTTGTGTCTCCCTCTGTCTCTCCCCCTTCCTTGCTCACTCTCTATCTCTCAAAAATAAATAAATGTTAAAAAAAAAATTTTTTTTTTAAATTTGATATTTGTGGGGCACCTGGGTGGCTTTGTTGGTTAAGTGTCCAACTTTGGCTCAGGTCATGATCTCACGGCTCGGGAGTTTGGAGTCCCACCTCAAGCTCTCTGTTGTCATCTCAGAGCCCACTTCGGATCCTCTGTCTCCTTCTCTCTCTGCACCCCTCCTAAACTAGCACACACTCTCTCTCTCAAAAATAAACATTAAAAAAAATAATACAGGGGCGCCTGGGTGGCTCAGTCTGTTAAGCATCCGGCTTTGGCTCAGGTTGTGATCTCACAGTTCGTGGGTTCAAGCGCAATGTCAGACTCTGTGCTGACAGTGAGGAGCCTGGAGCCTGTTTCAGACTCTGTGTCTCCCTCTCTCTCTCTGCCCTTTCCCAGCTGATACTTTGTCTCGCTGTGTCTCGCTCTCTCTCAAAAATAAATACAAAAAAAAAAAAAAAAAAAAAAGTCCTCCAGAGTAATTTATTGCATTCAGTTGATCATACACAGTGTAAATACAACACTGCATTTTACAGATCACCTTGACTGCTTTGCGTAGATGCCCTTTTTTTCTGAAGTTAATGTGAACTTTCTATTGTTAATTCAATAGTTCATGATTTTTTGTAAAAGAATCAGAAAGGCTTTTATTTATTCAACTTTTGTGCTATAATCTGTTGGTCAATATTTTTTACTAAACATTTCTGTGATATGCAATTTTAATTCTGGCAGTGAGTTTGGAAAGTTAGTTTAATTCTTACTGCCTGTGTTTTCTAAAATGACAAATATCTTCTAAATGTCTATTTGTTTTTAATATGATTTTATTTATGAAAAAAATTTTTAATGTTTTTAAATTTATTTTTGTGAGAGGGAGAGACAGATGTGAGCAGGGGAGGGGCAGAGAGAGACAGAAGCACAGAATATGAAGCAGGCTCCAGGCTCTGAGCCTGACACGGGGCTGGAACTCGTGGACTGCAAGATTATGACCTGAGCCAAAGTCAGCTGCTGAACCTACTGAGCCACCCGGGTGCCCCTATTACAATTTTATTTTATTTGTTATTTTTTTCCCTATAATAATTTTAAATAAAACACTCACGTCAATTTTTATTAGGTGTATCATTCTTTTAAAATATTTGTTTTGAGCTACAAGAATAGGCATGCTTCAGTAAAGATCATTTATGATCAGAGTAAATAAATAGATAAATAAATAAACCTCGGTATTTGTATAGTTTCAAGACTATTATAAAGGTAAAATGGTAACTTATGATTGAAGAAACCTTCCAGACACCACTTTAATCAAATGATCAAGTTAACGTGACCAGTGATGAGCCTTAGCCACTCATGTGCCTTCTGACACCACATCCTACAAAGGGCACAACATCACTTCTCTGTCAAAAATGCACAACCTAGATCCAACCATAGGGACATAGTGAACAAACTCAAATTGAGGGGCATTCTGTCCTTCTGAAGTACCAAAGTCATGAACAACAAATAAAGAAGACCTCCTCCCAAATAGAAGGGAGGCTAAGGAGATATGACAACTCAAAGCAGGGCGTGATTCTGGATTGGATCATAAACCAGAAAAAAAGATGCCAGGAAACAACTAGTAGAATCTGAATAAGATTTATAGATTAACTAATATTTTATCAATATTATAATTTCCTGAGTTTTCAAATTGTACTATGGTTACATAAGATGTAAGTATTTGGAAGAAGCTGGGCTAGGAGTATACAGGAACCCCCTGTTTTTGAAATTTCTAAGTCTGAACTTTCTTTAAAGTGAAGAATGAACAGGGAAAAAACCAAACTCTAAATAGATGGGAGTTAAATCTTGTAACACAGTGTGAGCTACTAGCTCAGGTGGAGGGACTCTTCCAGAAGGTATCGAGAGGAGATAAAGAAATGGAGAGGACAGAAACAGAAGTGTAAGCAACATCACAGAGGGGCTGCAAAGGGAAAGAAAAAAAGAATGGAGAGAAGAAAACATTTGAAGAAGCAATGGTCTAGGCTTCTGAATAAATAAGGAGGAGGAATATGAGAACTTTTGTTCTCTCCTTAAATCCTACTAAAAATGACAAAAAAAAAAAAAGGAATAAAAATGGACAAAGACACTGGCAAGATGACAAGAGACAAGAGATGCCAGTAAACTGTGGAAGCTGGAAAGCAGATGGATGAGTGGAAAACAGGCAGGAGACCAGAGAAAGTGGCATCTAAGGCCAACGAGAAGCAAGCTGGAGCTGAAAGGCCCTGAAACTGGAGGGACCAGAAGAGAATGCTGGAGTGAAATGGGGGGCTGAAAAAGAGGTTATCTGGAAGCCTTTCAAAGGAACGGCTAGATACCCAGAACCTTCCCCTACCCTGGCAGAAGACTACAGCAATGGTGGGGTGCCTAGATGGCTGTCAGTAGAGCTTGTGACTCTTGATCTCAGAGTCGTGAGTTCAAGCCTCACGTTGAACAAGGAATCCATAAATAAATAAATAAATAAATAAATAAATAAATAAAACAAACTACAGCAGTGGTTCTTCACTGAGGGAGATTTTGCCCCCAGGGGAAATTTGACAATGTCTGGAAATATTTTTGGTTGTTAGGGGGTATGCTCCTAGCCGATAGAAGCCAGGAATGCTGCTTAACATCGTATAAGCCACAGGACAACCCCCTGCAACAGAATTATCTCATCCTAAGCATCAATAATGCTGAGAATGAAAAATCCCTGGACTAGAGGAAACTGAGCACAGGTGAGAGCAGGGATAAAGTCCCAATGAAAACACAGAAGATTTAGAGGATATCCACATGATGAATGGTGAGACCTGTAGACCTCATCCCCTAATGAACTCCCAGAATGCGGACAACCACACTTATAACCCGCAATGTGATAGTAGTAGGAAGTGACCCCTCGGAAGGTAGTTAGGTTTAGGTGAGATCATGAAGTGTAGCTCCCCTAAGGGGACTGGTGTCCTTACAAGAAGAGAGACCAGAGCGCGTGCTCTCTCTCTCCATCCATGAGGGCACAAAGAAGAGCTCATGTGAACCACATAGTGAGGTGGCAGTCATGTGCAAGGCTAGAAGCGAGCCCTTACCAAGAACACAAATCTACTGGTATCTTGATCTTGGGACTACCAGCCTCTGGTAATATGAGAAATAAATGTGTTTAAGCCACTCAGTCTACCATGTTTTGTTATAGCAGTCTGAAATACAAGATATCCCCCAAGGGGTGTCTGGGTGGCTCAGTCGGTTAAGCATCTGGGCTCAGGTCATGATCTCATGGTTTGTGAGATTGAGCCCTGAAGTTGGGTTCTGCGCTGACAGTGTGGAGCTTGCTTGGGATCCGCTCTCTGCCCCTCCCCATGCTGGCACACTCTCTCTCTCTCTCTCAAAATAAATAAGTAAACATTAAAAAAAAAAAAAAAAAAAAAAAAAAAAAGGACAGGGGCACCTGGCTGGCTCAGTTAGTTACACGTCTGACTTCGCTCAGGTCATGATCTCATGGTTCATGAGTTTGAGCTCCCCCCCACATGGGGCTCTGTGCTGACAGCTCAGAGCCTGGAGCCTGCTTCGGATTCTGTGTCTCCCCTCTTTCTCTCTGCGCCTCCTCTGCTTGTGTACTCTCTCACGCTCTCAAAAATAAACTAAAAAAAAAAAAAAAAAAAAAAACCCCCCCCCCCAAAATTGCCAGGTTCCAGCATGATTACCTACAATGAAATCTACCAACTGATAACCCCCTTCCAATTGGCATTTCATTTTTTTTTCAACATTTATTTATTTATTTTTTTTTCAACATTTATTTATTTTTGGGACAGAGAGAGACAGAGCATGAACGGGGGAGGGGCAGAGAGAGAGGGAGACACAGAATCAGAAACAGGCTCCAGGCTCTGAGCCATCAGCCCAGAGCCTGACGCGGGGCTCGAACTCACGGACCGCGAGATCGTGACCTGGCTGAAGTCGGACACTTAACCGACTGCGCCACCCAGGCGCCCCCCTTAAAAATAAAATCTTAAAGGGCGCGTGGATGGCTCAGTCGGTTAAGCGTCTGACTTCGGCTCAGGTCATGCTCTTACAGTTCGTGGGTTCGAGCTCCGCATCAGGCTCTGTGCTGACAGCTTGGAGCCTGGCGCCTGCTTCAGATTCCGTGTCTCCCTCTCTCTCTGTTTCTCCCCTGCTCACGCTCTGTCTCTCTCTCAAAATAAATAAAGATTAAGAAAAAATTGTTTTTTAAATATTAAAAAAGAAAACAAAGGCAGTATGGGCATGCTATTTAGAAATAATTAGGTAAATATTAGAAGAAATAGCTGTAAGAGCTGTAAACAATGGCACTCTAGAGAGTAGGAAACAGGAGGCGGGGGGGCGCGGGTGTGTGAGAGGCAGAGACATAGACATAGACCTAGCCTCTTAAAATTATGAAACCATAAAACTATAATAAAAATTTTTTAAAACCTTCAAATTTCATAGTCATATTGCAGTGAATTTTAAGAACAAATATGAAGATAATCATCTAAAATCTTCTAATGAAAAAAAGTAGGCCAAGGGGGCACCTGGGTGGCTCAGTTGGTTAAGCATCTGACTCTTGATTTTGGCTTAGGTCATGATCTCGGGTTCATGAGTTCAAGTCCCACGTTGGGCTCTGTGCTGACAATGCAGAGCCTGCTTGGGATTCTCTCTCTCAAAAATAAAAAAGAAACATTAAAAAGAAAAAAGCAGATCACTTACAAAGAAACAAGAATCAGACCTACACCAATTATCAACAACACCTTTTTTTGAGAGAGAGAGAGAATGTGTGCAAGTGGGGCAGAGAGAGAGAGAGAGAGAGGGAGGGAGAAAAGATCTGAAAGAGATTGTGCGCTGACAGCAGAGAGCCCCATGTGGGGCTGGAACTCACAAACGGTGAGATCATGACATGAGCTGAAGTCGGGTGCTTAACCTGCTGAGCCACCTGGGCACCCCAACAACATCTACTTTTTGCAGGAAGAAAATACTGAAGGAAAAAAACTTTGACTCAAGAATTTAACATGAAGAAGAAATCAAGATATTCTCAGGCATACAAGCTTCAGAAAGTTTATCACATAAAGCCCCCTTTCGAAAACACTCTTGGAGAAAGTCCTCCAGCAAACAAAGAGTAAATAACTTAGTAAAGTGTATTGCTGTTTCAAAGGCAACCAAAGCTTGTATCTCTAACAATCCAGAACTAAAACTAGAAGAAACTAGGGGAGGGGAAGGAAGTGACGGAAGTGAGTATGGCTGCAATACTTGTCTATTTCGGTGGGTTTATGGTAAAAATAACCATGAATATGAGCTTAATAAGGTACTCTATCCTGACTCTCCATCTGCTCATCTTGTTAGTAATATCAGACTGAAAGCTCTTATTTGACCTTTACCACGAATTCCTAAGTGATTCATGCCATCCCTCCATATACACACACTCAGAGCCACTAAGTAATTAGGAAACCTCAATAGCGCTAACAATTCTCGACCATGATTTTCATTCCAAAAGACTTGGTGCAGGAGTACCAACTTCGACCTCGCATCCCTAGTTCTGACCTGTTACCTACCTACGATGGGAGCCCGGAGCCTACTCTCAGCCATAGAACTCTGCAGCTCTGAGAATTTGCCGTCACCTGAGAAAGGACAAAACAGCATCAGAACCACCTTCATTAGCCTTCGACCTTCTACTACCCTCTCCCCCAACCCCCACCCCCGGCCTCCCAATTCCTGCAAACCCCCCAGCGCGGCTCTCGGGGGGGGGGGGGGGGGGGCGGAAAGGAAGACTGAACTCCATCACAATCCGTATCCCATCTCACCTCCCGTGTCTCTTGTCCTTCAATCCCGCCACCCCCTCTAGAACTCTGCGCCTTCACTCCCATGGCCTCTTGGCCACCCCTTTTGTATTTCAATCCCTGTGCTTCCCTCCAGGCTCTTGTCCCCTCAGTCCCAACTTGCCACCTTTAGACCTCTACCTCCTCAACGCCAGTAAGCCCTTCTTCTCGGCTCCTCTACGCTCCTCAGCTTCTGCCCCTATCAGCTCCCCAATTCCTGTGCACCTTCCCGATGTCTTATCCTCTCTACACTCGTTTAACCCCTTCCTTCCACCTTCCTTCTTACCCCATCTTCCCCTTCCCGGCATCCGTACCCTTTCCTGGCTCCCTCCTCAAGGTCTCCGTAGTGTATTCGCGGGCTCCATGAGCTTTTTCAAACGACCGAGTGGCCGTGGCCTCTCCGCAAGTACACGACCAGTCTCCAGGCGCCCTGGGCCGCGGCTCGGGTTTAAATTTCCTGTCGGCCCCGCCCCTAATACAGCGTAATAGCTGCGAGGGTCTGCCCTACGGTGGCCCTGCGAGGTCAATGTTAACCTCAGCAAAACCTCCCTTCTCCCTTCCTATTCCGGCCGGCGTTCTCCATCCGTCCCTTCCCTTCATTTCTTGGCTTTTCATTGGGTGGAGATACTCTGCGCCTTAACAGACAGGAAGTTGAGGGCTAGTGGTAGCCTAGTTTTCATGATTCTTCACACTGAGCTGGTTTGAAATTCCTAGGAGTTCGATAATAATAAAATAGGCCTATCACGGAGCATTTACAAAAAAATTTCACATACACATCATTTCATCTTCACATCTTTGTTTCCCTCCCTTTTCTCCACTTACCCACCCAACAAAAAAAATTCTCAAAAGAGGTGTCTCCTCATTTGTTCGACTCATGTAATTAGTGTGACCCTCACCTCTCCACTAAAACCGTACTTGTCTAGGTCAACTGTAACTTCCACGTTCCCAAATCCTATGGTCACTTTGCTGTACTCAACTGATCCAACTTCTAGAACATTAAAGGAGACTATTCCCTCCTTCCTGAGCCAGTTTCTTCATTTTGCTCCTATTTCTACGAGCCTGCACCTTCCCTTAATGGCTCCACAATCTCCTTTGCTGAATCTGAAGCCATTGTTCCACCTATAATGTTGCAGCATGCCAAGGCTTTAGCCCTTAGTCCTATTCTCTTCCATATTAGCACTTTCTTCCCAGGAGGCCTCATTCAACTCCATGGCTTTACAATCAGTTCTGTGCTAATGCCTGCAGAACTTCTACATCTGGTTCGGATCTCTCCCTTGATCTCCAGACTTCTATATTCAAGTGGATACTGGACGTTTCTGCTTGTATGTCTAATGGACACCTCCGGCTCAACACATTCAAAACAGAACATTTCTTTCACTGTCCCACCCTTCAAAAAACCCCAGGTATTCTTCTCCATCTCAGTAAATGTCACATAATCCGCTCAGTTGTTCAAGACAAAAACCTAGAGGTTATCCTACTTCAGCTTATCCCCACTCCCACTCTAGAAACAAATTCTACCAACTCCGAAGTACATCTTGCATCAGACCACCTCTACCATCTTAGTTCAAGCCACCATACCTTCTTGCCCGAAGCACTGTGTCAATTTTTAACACCACTTCTACTTTTTCTTTTTTTTTTAAAGTAAACTCTATCCCCAATGTGGAGCTCAAACTCATGATTCTGGATCAAGAGTTGCATGCTCTACTGACTAAGCCAGCCAGGCACCCCAACACTATTTTTACTCGAGTAGCTTCCTACATCCACCCCAAATAATCCATTCTCTAAGCACTATATTATTTATATATACGTGTGTGTGTGTGTGTGTGTGTGTGTGTGTATACACACACACACTTTTTTCCCTTCCAGTGGGGCCCCTCCCTACACTAGACTATACATAACAGCTCTGATGAACTAAAGCTTGGCCATGTGACTCGCTTTGGCTGATGAAAAAAAGAAAAAAAAATGACATCACTTTCAAGCACAAGTTTTAAGAGACAGGATCATTTACCAAGTTCTTTTATCCCATCACAATGACAAGCAATGTCCTAGCTTGAAGCTGACCTGTCGGCTTGAGTTCCTGAGTAAAGATGACAGGTAACAGAACCAGGGGCAACCCCAAATAGATTTGTAGCATAAGCAAGAAATAAACCTTTATTATTTTAAGCTACTGAGATTTTGATATCATTTGTTACTATATCATAATCAAATCCAAGGTTCCCAAAGTGTAGCACAGTCCTTTCAGAAGGATCCATGAAGTCAAAACTATTTTGGTAATAACACAGAAACATTATTTTCCATTTTTCATTCTCATTCTCTCATGAATGTTTAGTGGAGTATGCAGAAGCAAAAGTAAGAATCTAATACTCTTCTGTTTAAAATATTAGAAGCAATGCCATTCTTCTAATTATTTTTGTTTTGGAAAATATTTTTTCATTAAAAGTGCATTATTTAAGTTAACACATAATGGACTTATTCTTAAATGAACAATATATTTTTAAAGTTTTTCCTTACTGAGAGAAAGAGACAGAACGTGAGCAGTGGAGAGGAGGAGCCAGGGAGGGAGGGAGGCAGAGAGAGAGAGAGAGAGAGAGAGAGAGAGAGAGAATGAATTCCAGGCAGGCCCCACACTGCCAGCATAAGCCCAACGCAGAGCTCGAACTCCCAAACCATGAGATCATGACCTGAGCTGAAATCTAGAGTTGGACACTTAACTGACTGAGCCACCCAGATGCCCCTAAATGAACAGTATTTTTATTTTTTTAATTTTAATTTTTTAAATTTTTTTTTGAGAGAGAACTAGAGCGTGAGTGGGGGAGGGTCAGAGATAAGGTCAGATCCACACAATCTGAAACAGAATCCAGGCCCTGAGCTGTTAGCACAGAGCCCAACGCGGAGCTTGAACTGGGGAACTGTGAGATCATGACCTGAGCTGAAGTTGAACCCACTGAGCCACCCAGGTGCCCCAATCAACAATATTTTTAAACTTTAATTTCTAATGTGGTAAATATCACAGATTTTATTTTCTAAATATATATTCAAATATATAAAATCTTTCTATGTATAAATTAAAAATCTTAATGTTTATTTATTTTTGAAAGAGAGAGAGACAGAGACAGAGAGACAGTGAGAGAGCACAGGCTGGGAAGGGCAAAGAGTGAGGGAGACAGGGATCCAAAGCAGGCTCTGAGCCGATAGTGGAGAGCCTGATAGGACACGGGGCTCGCAACTGACAAACTACGAGATCATGAACTGAGCTGAAGTGGGACACTTGGCTGACTGAATCACCCCAATTTATAAATTTAAATTGAAAAATACCCCCATTTGTGGTGTCTCTCTCAGTTGGATAGGGGCCCCCAAATGTGGGGCATTCTGATAGGGTGAGGGCCGGGGGCACAGGCAGTGGAAGGATTCACCCTAGGCAGAACAAAGGAGAAAATTTATTAAATACACTACAAGGGAGCGGTGGGCAAGACAGCAGAGGAGAGGCTGTTGGTAACGAGGCAGTGGCTGGAGGCGGTTTTTAAAGAGAGAAGGTGAAGAGGTATGAAGACCTGTGGAATTTTCCCTTTTTTGGTAACTGTGCCTGCTTGTAAATAGCCCATTGGTTAGTTAGGGCCTATGGATATTTTGAGGTGGGTAGCCTGCTGGGCCTCTCTGTATTCAGCCAGAGAGCTGGGGTCACCCTGGGCTCTTCTACCTTACTCAGGTTTCCATCGTTCAAGCCTGTTGCCTAAAACCGGCCTCTACAAGACTGTGGCGGCCAGTCTCCCCAGACGGCCTGTAAGGATATTCAATTCCTGGTAGTCGTGACCACATCAAACAGGGTGAGTTACCATTAGAGGAAATAATGATGTGCAACTTCTGAGACGGGGTCATAAAAAGTATTTCAACATCCACATTGCTGTTTCTTAGATCACCTGCTGTGAGGGAAGCCAGCAATCATGGCTTGAGAACACTCAAGTATGCTGTGGAGAGGCTCTTGTGGAGACAGAGGAATGGAGGCTTCCTGCGAACAGCAGCACCCCCTACTGTGATGGAGCCATCTCGCAAGGAGGTGGCTTCTTCAGCCTTAGCTAAGCTTCGGATGACTGCAACCCCACAAGAGATCCCAAGTCAGAAAAGCCCAACCAAGTTGCTCCCAGGTTCCAGGCCCACAGACAACCCAGAGACAATCAGTGCCTGGCGTTGTTTTAAGTCATATTTTGGGGTGACACAGCAACAGATAACTGATAAATGCATAAAAAAAGCTGTTTGGAATCCTCAATTTTTAAAAAAGAAAATAGGGGGCTGAAACCAAAGCAAACCAATTTCAGAACTGCGAACCTAGCTTATCCTGACTGACAAATAAAGCCAGTCAAACTATCCTCCCTTTCCAACCCACCCAGCGGCTTTCCCTCTTTGCTCCCCTGACCAAACTTACCTGTGTCTTTTAAAAAAATTTCTTCTTAATGTTTATTTTTGTGAGAGACAGAGAGAGACTAAGCGTGAGCAGGGGAGGGGCAGAGAGAGAGGGAGACACAGAATTCCCAGCAGGCTCCAGGCTCCGAGCTGTCAGCACAGAGCCTGACACAGGGCTCGAACCTGTGAATCGGGAGATCGTGACCTGAGCCAAGGTCAGCTGCTTAACCCACTGAGCCACCCAGGCCCTCCCAAACTTCCCAGTGTCTTGAATGAGCCAAACTTGTTGCTGCCTTAGGGCCTTTGCACTAACAGCTCCATTTCCCATTTCTTCTTTTTCCTTCTAGGCATCAGATTGAATCTCACTTTTTCATATGGGACTGCGGAGACCATCCAACCTCACAGCAGCTCCCCCATTCCTTGCCGGGTGTGCCACTTTGGCTTATTTTGTTCACAGCACTCAACACTCTCAGAAAGTATCTTATCTGTTTACCGGTTTGTTGTCTATATTTCCCCAGCCAGAATGCAAGACAACAAAGTGAAGGACCTTTCCTGTTTCCCTCACTGCTCTTTGCCCAAAATGAAGAACCTGGTGGGTGCTTACTAAATATTTATTGCACGAACTGAATGACTGAATCTCTCTGATCTTTAGCTTTTTCATTTCTAAAAGGAAGATAACATCTAACGGAAAATGGGGTTTTAATTTTTTTTAAGTTTATTATTTTGAGACAGAGAGAGAGAGAGAAAGTGTACACACGTGAGCAGAGGAGGGACAGAGAGAGGGGGATGGAAAATCCCAAGCAGGCTCCATGCTGTCAGCACAGAGCCTGACATGGGGCTCGATCTCCCAAATTGTGGGATCATGACCTGAGCCCAAATCAAGAGTCCCACTGAGCCACCCAGCCACCCCCAGAGTGAGGTTTTGAATATTAAACATGCATTTAGTGCAAAGTCAGTGACCAGAAAAAGGTACCTTTTACTATCTGGCAGAAAATATTTTGAGATAGTACT